CCCCAAAACCCCAAAACCCCAAAACCCCAGAAAGAGAGATTATGGCGTTTGGGCAAAACAGTATCATTTGAAATTTTAAACAAAAATGATTGAAAAATTAGAATTTAACTTCACCATTTACATTCATAACTTACCTAGCTTATTAAAACTAGAGATAAGAGGAAAAGGATCAAATTACTTATTATTTGTTCTTCGAACTACCAGCAGTATCTTAAAGTAGTTATAACAAATCACTACTCTCATCAATTTTTATGTCATCATTAGAAAATTAACTCTAGGAAAATTCATCATCTGCGAAATTCAACTTTTTCTAACTTGCAGTAGTAAGCTGAAATTGAGATTAATTTTTGTCTTCAGGATTATTAGGGGTATTAAGCTTAGAGCTTTGATTGCTATGCTTTGTTCGTGTGTATTTATATTTATAGGTAGTTGCCTTAGATACCATATTCATAATTGAAGACTTGCTTTACTGTTAATTTTAATTGCCAGTCTATTCTGCTTTTATAATGAAATTTTTACCACCAACTTTATTTAGTTTTGGTTTCTGAGTTTTATAATTGTTGGATACTTAAGTCATAAAAGTCCTTTTCTTATGTTGCATCTAGGATTGATAGCCACTATTCATGCTACTCTATTTAAAGAGTTACTCAACTTATTTCTTTTGCTGTTCAACGTCATTTTCTTAAGCTTGTGTAAGTCCTCCATTACTTAAACTCATCTATAGAATAACGCTACTTTTCTTAGTAATCTCATCTTACTATGTTTAAAATGGTATCTGTGACAAGTTCTCCATTTGAATCAAGTCAAGTTATTTAATTGGATCTGTAACTTCGACTACTTCCTTAGCTGATTAGCTCTTAGGATAATCATTGAATGATTGGCCACTTTATCTTTAATATTTCTAATTAGCTGTCTAAAATTAAGTGCTTTGCAATGAGGATTGAAGGTATCTGCTGCTAGCATCATTTTACGAGTCATTAAAGTTAGATTAAGATTGAAGCTAGATTATCTAATTCTAGGATTGCATTTCATCATTAAATGAAGAAGGAATCTGCGATAGTGATTATCTAATTATATGATTTTATCTTTTGGTTATAGCTTATTAATTCATTTAATTTAGAATTTTCTATTCTAACTGAAAAGAGGAAGTAGAAACTCTCTTGCTCAAAAGATTATTGTTATTATCGTTATCTTAAATATTAGTCATCCCTTAGACCTTAGTTTAAATAGCAGTATCCTTAATTTTCAATTTCGTTGCACTCTTTTTACCTGATGTCTAGCTGGGTATTTAAGAGAGAAATGAAGAATTAAGATTCAATGGGACTATCTCTTCTTTAATTATCTTTACAGGCGTCTAAGGTTTCCTCGAGTTTCTTCTTGGAGTGCACTGATTTATTTGCTTTAGTTCTTAGATAATTTTATCAGGAAAGTCAAGTTCGTTAAAAATCTGAATTATGTCTGCATTTAGAAGCTTCCCGAATGGTTCTATGACAAAATCCCTTATTAAAGCATTGAATTTTTAAGTTGGATCAATTTAAACTACATCTTAGTTTTAAAGCTCAGTTTTTAGCGTCATATTACTGTCTTCATATTCTAGCCTCATCATTTCATATTGAAGTTATAAGCTTTGGAAAAACTTTTTAAGAATCTTGATTGTATTGGTCTTCTCTTTTAAACTAATCTTTTCCATATTATCTACAATAGAGGAGTCAGCATTAGAGTTATTCTGTTTGAAGGAGTTCAAGCCCAACTCAATCAAAAGAATTTTCTCTAGATTCAATGCAATCTGAAGGTTAATTAATTGCTCCTATTATTTGAATATTTTGAAATGTATATATATTTACTTTATTTAGAGCTTTAGGCCACTTCTCAGAAATCTTCGGTTGTTTTGATGATGAAGTTGTCAGAGTGTAGAATGATAACTCCTTTAAAATCAATTTTTCATGATCTTTGATCTTATTGAATTTTAGTAATTTGCTCAAATCTGGCACCACTTTTATGCATAATTACTTGAGATTCTGATCAAATGGGGTCATTTTATGTTTAGAAGATGTGCTTTGTTAATCATATGATTGACCTTCTTTTATATCATCACTATTCAAGAAAATGATTAATAAGCATTAATATAATCATCAAAGTTATCAATTACCTTGAACTACTATTGATCAGCTTTATCATGAAATTCTTAAGAAATTATTGAATAGATTCCTTGAAAAAATCTTGGCAAGTACTGTTTAAAGATTCTTATGAGAAATTAGATTTTGAGTTTTCGATGCTTTGAATCGCGCTCATTTTAAAGATGCTCTTCCGCTTTTTAATATTTATAAATAATTCAAATATAATGCAGTTAAGACACCCAAATTTAAAACTTAAAATTAATTAACAAACTTAACTATGAATATCTCAGAATGAGTCAGTGCCTTTTTTAAACTCTCGTTAATACTTTGAAAATTAAGTCATAATAACATTACTAAAATCATTCATTCTACCTTCTGTAACCAACAACCATAAGTAAGGAAAATATGATCATGATATCTAGAAGTAAATGCTTGATTTCCATGCTTTTCATTTCATATTCTTCAATCACTGGGTTATGAACAATTAGTCCGTCAAATATTAGAAGCAATATCATGTGCTCAACGAATCTTGTTCTTTTCTTGTGATCTTCAAAGAATACGAATCCCATCCCTGTAATAAGAAAACCAAAACCAAATACAAGTATGATTAAAGTGGTCAAGTAACAACTATCCATAAAGTTATAGAAATGGAACAGAAGATAGCCTTTATTAAATAGATATGCTTCTAAGTTGTACATTTTAAGGTCGAATAACGTTTTTCTTTAAGAATCTGTCAATAGAGTGATGCCTTCAAAGAAAAAAAATAGTGATAACAAAACCACTGAAGATTAGTACAGAAAGCTTTTTTGTATGCCAACCATTTTGGACAATTTTTAATTATACTTTCATTTCCAATAATTTGAACAATATATTAATAGCGGGGTTTTGGGGTTTTGGGGTTTTGGGG